ACCCTGAGCTTTGCCTTGCTTTGCTTGATTGGTCTTGTGACCCCTTGTTCTCCCCCACTTTGCCTATGGGGGTGTGTTAGAACAATATAGCTTACTTATTTGTGTAGGCTATAGTGGGGTATCCCATAGGGGGTACAACCCAATTAGGGTTTCCTATATGTACTCACTTCATTCATAGTCATTCCATTCTCGTTCTCATTCTCACAGCGTCGTCGTGGTTCTTCGGCCCGGCGACTTACTGAAGGCCGTCGACGTCGACTGCGAGACCTCGTTCCGCCACCTGGACCCGAAGACTGCAAACCGGTTGCATTCGTCTGAGGCGCTCGCCGTGCTGAGGTAGGCATGCTTAAATTGGGAAGGCTCTTTACCAGGTTACTGGTTTCTCGACGGCGTCCCCACTGACTCTTTCGTGCATTTGTGTTGCAGCTTTTTCCGGCGCTGTGTTTTGGCTGAGCTTGGAAGAAGTGACAGGACATGGAAGTGGGCGCCTCCCGCTGAGGAGGTCGTGGTGGCTCGACTCGCCGGTTGCGACTGGCCCACGCGCGACGTGAGTTTTTGTCGACCTTGTAGCCGACTTTAATTGGTCGTCTAACTGTGCTTGCATTGGTACACCCTCGGCTCACCTAGCCTGCCCTTGCAACGGTTGTACGCAGAGATTACCGGACATTGTGAAGAACGAACATGTCGACACCGGATTGCATGCTGTGAGCGCGTTCGGATGGGTGGTTAGAGAGCGCGGAGCCCTACTCAAGTCACGTGCACCGGCGAGCGCTGAGAACCCGATGGTTCAAGGGTTGAGGGCACTCAAATCGGCGCTAGTGGAATACGTCAAGAGATGCGTTGCTGAGAGGCGGTCGGCGCCATCCAATCACCCTACTGGGCCAAGTACCTCCCCCCTCGACGACGACGGAATCGTAACTAAGACGGCGTCTCAAGCTGGCGTGTATCGCCCGGCGTATGCCGGCGCGCACGACACTAGAACTAGCGGTCATGTTGGCGGCGGTGGCGAGGCCGACTTGGTAGGAGAAGAGGAGCAGAGGGCAGGGTCTGTTGAGTCATCTACTGACTCAGAGTCAGAGTCGGGATCCAAGGAGGAGGAGGAGGATGAAGAGGAGGACGAGCGTGCAGGGAAGATGGCTGTTGGTGCTGAGGCGGACACAGACGCCGACCGCGCTGCTGGTCGCGACTCGACGTCGACCGGCGGGACAGGCGCAACTGCAGCGTTGGCTGGGGACAAGCCTCGTAGGAAGGCGCCGGTGCATGGTCAGCCTGCGTCGACCACATCTTCAAAGTCGGCGTTTGCAGCCGCACTTGCTCACGTGAAGCGACTGGAAGAGGAGAACATGAAACTGAGGGACGAGAATGCGGGGCTGCGGTCGGATCTGGTTACCGAGAGGTGTCGGATGGAGGGGTTGTTGGCGACGGCGGCTGAGTGCCTCGCGGCTATCAAGTCGCTTACCGAACGCGTCGCCGCCGCCGAGCAGACTGCGGGGACACACATCTCCACAGCCACAGCAGCCATGACCGGCGTCTTCACCAAGGTGCTGGACGATCGGGTTGCTCTGGTCAAGGCGTGCAGCAGCATGGCGACGCCGTTGTTGGGGGAAATCACAAAGGGCTTGGACAAGCTGGCCGGCGCCCGCCGTGATGCCGACGTGCGGTTGGGGAACCACGTGACCAGCGTGGGGGATGACGTTAAGGCGGTGTTGGCCGAATACATCCAGACCAAGTTAGCCTCAACTTCCACCAACATCGTCGGCGGCTTATCGCGCAGCATCGTGCCGCCCCCGCCCGGTCCATCCCCCGCGCTGCCTGAAGAAGTCATCAAAGCAATGAGGGATGACATTGTTCAGGCGGTAACCGCCGTCACGCAGCAGGCGCTGGGAACCGTCGGCTTCACGCTTCTGCCCAACGTGCTTGCTACAATGAGGTTAGGGCGGCGTGGTTCGTCCCCGTCGGCCGGCGACCCGGAGACCGCGCAAAGGCATAGGCCGGAAAAAAGGGCTGCCAGCGGAAGTGCAGCCGACGGCGACAACGCGGGAAATTCGAAGCGGAGTAAAGGTGTTGGTGTGGAGCGAGCAGACGGCGGCGACGTTCCAGATCGCGCCAAGTCCGGTTCTCCCGTCCTCGACATGCTGAAGAGAAAAGGGGCGACAACTCGGCTCCTTGGCCCGCATAGTAGAGGCGGAGCTGGCGGCAGCTCGGAGGGCAGGACTGTCGCCGAGGAGGGTGTGCGAGTCGGCGGGTCTTCCACTAACGGCGGTGGAAGGAAAGGTCCGGAGATTCCACGTCCTAGAGCAAGCGAGGTAGCACCACCGCCGTTCTATCGTGGTAACGTCGCCGTTGAATCAGTTGAAGTGCAGGCCGACGCGGCGATAGGCGTTGATCGCGGGCCGCCATTCGATGTTGAGGCTCCGTCAATCGGCGATCAGACTCACCAGGCTCCTGTGGTCGGCGTAGGGGTGGACACGGGCGCCCTCGGCGCGGAGGATGATCCCGTGGCCAGAGCGTTGATGGAGGAGCTTCTTGCTTTTCAGGCGCCATCGCAGCAGCAGCCCGTCACCATCGACAACGCCGCTGTCCCAACAACTCGCCGGGGGGCGCAACCTGTCGCCGGTACAGCACCAACAGCCCCGGTCTCGGCCGATGTCACCGCGCGTCACACGGCAGCACCATATGGTGATCCGCCGACAACTGGGCCCGTCGCAGCGCCAAGCACGGGGCAAGACAACGCCGGTCAGACCCTCACGGACCCGGTCGCGGCCATGCTTCTGGCCGCGATCAACTCGTTTCACGAGGCGGCACCTTCATCGCATCCGCCAACTACTGTCACCAGCGCGGCGCCGACCATGCAGCTCCCTGCCGCTGTTGCCACGCCGTCGGACCCAGTCTCGGACATGCTGATGGCCGAGGTCAACGCGCTTTCAGCAGGTGCACAATCTGCTCAACCGCAGACTCACGGCACGCGCACTGCGCCGACCACGGTGAACTTGGCGGAGCCCGTACACCAAGAAGCGGCAAACGAGACGGTTCCAACAGCGGTGCCAACGCATCACCAGGTCGGCGCGGCGTCTGGACAAGGTGATTGGGGCGCGGTGGCAGGAGACGATGGTGCAGTGGAGATCTCTCTCATCATCGAGGACGAGGATGTGGAATTGATACAAGCGGCGATAGAAGCAGACGAAGTTGCCGCACTTCGGTCTGTGGGAGGTACGTCGGGCATCAGTGGCATGGAGGGTCGGCCTGCCGGTGTTACAGCGTCCACCCAGGCCGGGCCGACTGTGCAGCCGGCCCGTTTGGCTGTTCCGCTCATTCAGAGTCATCCTGCCTTCTTCATACAGGTGGATAGGGCCTTCCAGACCGGCCCGATCGGCGTCACTGGTTCTGACCAGGCTGGTCTGGCGGGAGAGTCCACTCGGCCCACCGCCGTTACAGTGGCTAGTCAGGCCGGCCAGGCCGGACCTTCGGACAGGTCGGCGGGCGTCACTGTTGCGGACCTGGCGGGTCAGGCAGGGACGTCCACTGTTCTGGCCGGTGGACCAGTGGGTGAACACGCCGACAAGGATGGACAGACCGATCGTGCGGCTGGAGTCGGCGAAAAAAAGAATAAACGGAAGGGTAAAGCCACCGCGTCGCAGAAGGCCGTCGTTCCGAAAGATCGCAGGGGGCATTGTATTAGGCTGGACAGGACGAGCGGTGGCGGGTGGCAAGGCGAGGTAAACCTAGCTGGAAAGAGTCGCTACACGGGGAGATCGGACGACAGGATGGAAGTGGCGTACCTCAACGGCGTTGCGACGACCATCTTCAACGGACACGCCAGCCAAGTCCTGTTGGCCGAAATGACCGGCGTTAAAGCCGAAGAAATGACGCGGTGGAAGGCGGAGTGGGAGGAGGCAAAGGTGATGCCAAAGGGTATGTGGACGGTGATGTGGTCCCGCGGCGCCACCATGTTTCGTGCACGGTAAGAATCGTGGGACTCGATGTGTTTTGAGCGGCGTGATTAGGTCTGACTGTGGGGTTTTACGCCGACTGACCACGTTCACGTTCCACGTCGTGCGTGACAGGTTCCAGAATGTCCTCGCCGACTTCAAACAGAAGAAGTCATCAGGGCCCCCGCTGATGAAAGTGCTGAGGCCGGCGGTGTGGTTCGGCACTGGTTGGGAGCCGGCCAAGCGCAAGCAGCAGCTCAGCGACACCATCAACCGCGCTTGCTTGTGTGCGGCGTTTGGGCAAGTCGCGGCAGAACCGTCCCCAAAACTGGTGCAGACGCCAAGCGCATAGGCCAAGCCGTCGCCGCTTCATCCTGCGCCGTCTGGTGCTTTGCTGAGACCGCGGCCGAGGTCGGCAATGCGGCGGGTGAAGCGAAGGCGGCGGCACTGCTGTGTGAAGCGAGCACCGATTTCGCTGACACTTGTCACGACGTCGTGGTTGCGGTGCTAGAAACGGAGGTTGCGAGACAACCCGTCCTGGGAGAGGTCTCGTGCAACGTCACCGACGCACTGCAGAAGGATGCTCTTCGGAAGGGGTGCAAGGGCTGTGACCCCACACCCGACGCCGAGATTATCGCGAGGGGCAACTATCGAGACCCTCGCTTTCTGGGGGTCGTGCAACGCCGGCGGCCCCCTTCTCCGAGCACGCGGCATTCAAGTGCCGCTGGACAAGCAGATGGAGAAGGATATGGATTACAGGGGAAAGAAGGGGCAGAAGGGGAAGCACGCCGCGTAGATGGGTTTTGTTGTTGTGTCTGTCGTTGTGTTCTGGACCGACGTCGCAATGTGTAGCAAGATTGTTGATTGATTGTGGGGTTTTGGTGGGCGCCGACTTTTATTGTGCACTTTTGCTGTGTTTCTAGCACGTAGGTTAATTTGCTGTTCATGAAACGCCCTCATGTTTTCGGTTCTTTGCCAAATTCTCAACTGTTGGGAACATTGAATCCACAGTAAGTCGGAAACAAAAGTAACAATCGAGCTAAAAGAAAGTAGCTAAGCGGCGACAAAACATCAGCCCGGCTTCCGACGCTTGGACGTCTTCGTCGGCAGCGGCGGCGGTCTTCCAGCGGCCTGCTCCGCGGCCGCTTCGGCCGCCACAGCTTTCTGCTCTTCCCACGTGGTCGGGAACATGTCCTCGCCCCACTTGTGCGTCATGTATCCCGCCGCCACCAGTCCCCAAGCAACCGTCAGCTTGGGCTTTTCACCCTTAGAAAGCCCCTTGATGCCCAAGTTCCCCTCCGTGCGTATCGGAAGCGCGTCGGCGTCGATGATCTTCAGAGCATCGCAGAAGGTCACAATTCCCGACGCAGCGAGCTCGTCGAGTTTCTTGATGACGGCGGCGGTGTCGGCCTCTCCGTCTGACGAGCGGAAGCGGCGCACGGCCTCCATCGCCCTCCTCATTCGGCGCATCTCACCCTGTTTTGCGTTGGCCGACGACTTGCCCAGGAGGCTGTGCCGCCCGATGAAACTTGGCTCGTTGATCCTGTCGCAGAGACGCCGGCGGTCCGTGGTGGTGGGGCAGTTCCAGAAGCGCCAGGCCTCTGCCACAGTCTCGGCCCTTCTCCATGGGTCGACAACCAGGGCCTCGTAGTGAGCGTCGGCGTCCAACTGAGCTTGCTTAGCGGCCGCAGCTGCCTCCTCTTCCAGGGTCGTCGGCCTAGAAGGCGCCTGTGGCGCTGGCGCCCTACGTGCCTCGAAGATCTTGAGCTCCTCCATCAGCCGGGCGATCTCGGCGTCCCTCGCCGCGATAGCAGCACGCGCCTCCTCGAGCTCCTTCTCCACCTTCATCTGCTTGAGCGTCGCTTTGTGCCTCTCGTGGGCCAGCGTCTCGTTCAGAAGGTCGACTTGAAATTCGGCGTCCAGGCGGGCTGAGATTTCCTGCGAACAGCAACGGAGCGGGTTAGGAGTCAGGTGATGCAAGCACGCTTGACGCCAAGTCACGCGGAGTTCATCTTGTGCTTACAGCTGGCTGGGTCGGGATCGGCGACCGGCGCTTGGCGATCGTCTCGTTGTCAGTCTTCTCGATGTCCTTCGCCCACGCCTGAAAGTCGCGATCCCGACAAAGCCTCGAAGCCTGGACCTGAGGGTGCCACGGAGTGCGGACGAGTTTTATCGCGAGGTCCTCGGCCGCAATGTGGCGTGCATCCAGCATGGTCTGGATAAAGTGCACCGCGGCCGTGTTCGCCTCAGGCCCTTGTGCGAGCTCTTCCGCCTGCATGAAATAGAGGAATGTCGGTGTGAACCAGAGAAGAGAGACGACAAGATGCATGAGGACGGCGTCGCTACACTCACCGCCCCCAACTGTTCCTCGACGCCGGGAAATATGTGCGCGGCGATGGTTTTTTCGAGGTCTGCGCTGGGAGGTAGCCTGCTGCGGCCCAGGAAGTAGTCGCTTCGGACTCCGGAGTAGCCGGCCTTCCTCATCACCACCCCGACTGGAATTGAAGTGATGTAACTCCTCGTCATCTTGTCAATAGCCCAGTGACCCAATTCGGCTATCTCGGCGCGCGGCGTGCCTTGGTCAGCCAGCTCTTGTGCCCCGCCGGCGCGAGCGGCGTGCACGTTGCGCTTGATGAAAACCTTGTTGGCCGTCCACAGCTGCCGAGTGATTCGTTGCTGGCTCGACGACGGCAGCAAACCCTGATCCTTGTCGTAGTGGGCGAAGAAGAGATGCTTGTCGTACCAAAGCTCCGGTCGGCGTACGTCCAGCGGCGGAATTATGGGGACGCCGAAGATCTGGGGGACCTGGTCGTAGATGAAGTGCAGCCAGAGGATTGTATCGCCCACAGCACACAGTTCCGCCTCTAAGTGCCTCGCCGCGTAGCTGTGATGAAGACGGGCGTCCTTGCACGTCTTCGAGTTGCGCTGCGCGATGACCATGACCATTGGCTGGTTGTCAGGGTTCACCGACGACCCGCTAGCAAGGCGGTACAGAAAGATGTCGGCGAGCGTGATCTCGCGTACGCTGGCACCGCGGAGCAGAGTGTGGTGCGATAGCAGGGTCATCGTTCTCATAAGCATGAACTTCCACAGAGTCTGGGAAGGACCTGTTCCCCTCGGATTCCACGCCGTCACCGACCAGTGCGGCAACACCTTGAACATGATTTTGCGGAACTGCTCGGTGGTGTAAGTGTCGCCGATGGTTCCGCGATGTCGGTCGACATATTTTCTGCGCAAGAGGAGAGTGCGAGGGTGATGATTGAGTGTGAGCGGCATCGGTGAGCATTGGAGGGAATACTAGAGAGGACTGGCAAAGACGGCGATGTTAAAACATCTTACTTGGTGTCGGCTTTGTTCTTTCCGCGAACCATGACGCGCACTTCCGTCCGGACGACCGAGATGTCCTGCATGATGTGCAGCTCCTTCTCCTTGTACAGGGTCGCCTCTACCTTGGCCGCCATCTGAAGGGCCTTGATGCGGCCGAGTAGCATGTTGACCGTGCAAGGCTTGATCGGCTGCGTGCGCATGGCGGTGTTGCCCTCTTCGCTCCTCATTGCCTCGATGAGGGTCTCTCGCGCTCTGAACAAGACGTAAGCGCGAATTCGAGGCTCGTTGGTCCTCGGGCCGTGCAACCAGATGAACTGGCGCGGGGCGGTGTGCCAACGTTCGCCCAAATCATCGCCGATGTGCTTGCCGATTTCGTCCTTGTTGGTGAGTATGGACCCCGGCTCCAGGTCGTCACCTTCTCACGGAAGAGCATCCACCGCCCACCGCTTGTAGTCTAGTATCCACGATATGTACTGCCGCAGCGACGACCCTTCCTCGAGCGTCTCCGTGTGGCGAAGGGCATTGGCTGTCAGCACTTCGGTGTCGCTGTTCTTCAGATCCTCGACCACAAACTCAGCCGCCGTAAACTCTCCTCGCGGGACGCTCGCGTGCAGCCTATCCTCGGGTTCGTCCTCGGCCAACGCCGCCTCTATCTCTCTTCGATCCCTCTCGGCTCGAGTGAGCGGCCGACGTTGGCGTCTAGGTCCCGGGCCGGGCTGGGGTTCCTCCTCCTCATCGCTAGACGAGGAGTCCTCCTCCGGCTCGATAGGACGTCGCTTTTGGGGATCGCCTACAGGTGGCGGCGGAATGTCAGGGTCGACGGGAATTGTAGCCAACGCATCTAGATCGTAAATCAGACGCAGCGTCACTGCCGGAATGGTGGTGGGGCGGACGCCGGCCGTCGTTGTGGCGTCACCGGTCAGGTTCACCCGCGCCTGGGCTGCCAGCGGAACGTAGTCCGACATGTTGGCCTCGGCTGTACGTCCTTACAGCGCTTGTTGTCTACTGAGGGCCAGCCGGCGAGTTGGTCGGCGGGTCGGGCATAAAATGGCGGTTTTGGGTAACGGCGGCGGCGTACTGCTGCTGCGTTGTGTTCGCCTCTAGTGACCTAGTGACCCTAGTGTCTGTATCTAAGCGGGCGGCGAGAGAAGCTTGCGCCAACTGCGCGGCGATGTCCCCCTCAGATGGGTTTGTTTCCGGCGGCGTTGCACCAGGCCGGTCGCCGACCACGCACAGCGCAACCCTAAACCAGTCTCGGCCTTTCTCCACGGATCTGGCCAATTGTGCCTCCCGTTTAAAACGGGCGACGAAACTGAGAAATCGGCTGCTACGACCAACGAAACCCAATGGCCCGATAATCGGTGTCACCTGTTGGTCGGCGTCATACGCCGGAGCCGCGGTGTTCTCCGCAGAGCGTGTCCTGGTGGAGAAAAACTAAGTGTGAGAGCGCAGGCGTAAGAAGTGACGAAAGGAAGTGGGAGTAGGAAAAATGGCTAGTGGCAGCTTGGCTCTGGAGAGGTCATGGACGTGCGCGGCTCGGCACATGCCACCGTGCAGGCAAGGTTCTGTACACTTGGCATTCATGCCGATGTCCACGCGAGGCGGCGTAATCTCCGACGTGACACGGCTCTCGCATGGCCACTACAACGCCGCCGTGGCTGTCCATGAAGGTGTTTCGTAAGGCATGCCACGGCAGCAATACAAGGCGCGCCGAGGCTTGTGGCACTGGTCCAGAGTCCATTCACCGGTGATTGGCGTCACGAGATACTTTGACGCCGACTTTGCGGCCAGCGCGGGTTCATCACGAGATACTTTGACGCCGACTTTGCGGACACCGCGGGTTCATTTTTCCCGCGCAAGAAATAGTCCTCCGATGTTCGACACTTGGACCCGGCATCGCTGTTCGATGTACGCCGCGTGTCCGGCGCCGACATTTATCCTGCCCCCACGTCTGATTTCTGTGCACGTGCCAGGCCGCCGATGCTCGACACCTGGACCCTGCATCGCCGGTCGATGCTCGCCGACATTTCGTTGTCCACCTGTTCCTCTCTAGCGAGCAATTTGACCGCCGATTTCTTCCACGTAGACTTACAGACTTACGCCGTGACGCCGATTGACGCCGCGTGTCACGCACCGACATTCTCACGGCCCGCGCGTTCTTTCCCGCGCGACGCTTGAGGTGTGGTCGGGTGACGCGTGGACGCCAATGTGGACGGCGACATTCGAGGGAGGTCGGACATGATCCTGGTCGTCCGTAACCCGCCGCGTGTCGTGCATCCGCGGTCGACGTGTCCTGCTGGCAACTCGGCACACGTTGAGATATACCCTGTGGGTAATTCTCAGCCCACGGGAATGTCGACGGTCGTTCGGCGTTCCCTAGGGCTCCGTGCCCCAGTCTGCCGTACAGTTTCCGACGGTCGGACGGCGAGCTGAAATGGAAACCTGTCGGTTCTGTGCGGCGAAAACGGGCGGGGGAATTCGTCGGCTGAGCTATATCATGCTGAATCTGTGTTGTCTTCACGTGCCAGAATCCTACAGTATCTTCAGCAGTTGCAGCTGGCAGCACCTGACGTGGTCAGAAATAAATGCAGTTGTCGTGGGCGGGTTGGGTGGATGGGTTTGTCGCTAGTAGAGTTGGAGCGGTTGTATCCCGAAATCCTCTGGCCGTAAAATCGGGAATGTTACGAGTGTCGTCGAAGTCGGTGATCGAAGGCGATTGGCAGCGAGCGTGATAACGAGAGATGGCGAAGGTCGTCAAAGTAGTAACCGTACCGAAAATAACTCTGGTCGAATTTGCCGAATGCTGTATCCGTGTCGAATGACGTCACCACCTCCGGCGGGTTTGTCCAGACTCGCCGAACCCTTTGTCGTAATCGACCGATGACTCCTGGGCAGATATGGAAAATTACAGCTGTCTCTCCCCCCTTCCACTGTTGCTGCTGCCACCTCCAGTTCGTCGTAAGTCGTTCGTACCCCTGAAAACATCCGTGTAGTTCCCGCGCTGTTGCCCCACGTAAATGTCGCGCGCGTTTAACCAAACGCCGAATGCTCCTCCGAAATTGTCGGCGCTCCTTGCCGTAAAACCTGTAAGTCCCACGGACAAACTCCGAAATTGTCGCTCGAATCTAACCCCGTAAATCCGCAGTCGCAGTTGCAGTAGCAGTTCGCCTCCGAAAATCTCGGACGTGCTATAGCCGCCCACTCGGTCACCATCAGTTTCCTTCGGTTTACCCGACCCCAGCATGTGGGTACAATCGAGAACCGGGGACTGCCATGGGTTATTCCGAGACCGAATTTCACGGAACCTAGTGGCATCAACGCCGTTGACGTCGTAGTCGAAAACTGCTTCCGCCGATGTTACTTAACAAAATAAGTCGTTTCTCCCACCAGCGCTTTGCAGATGTTTCACCGCATCGCTCGTCGCCGGTCGATAAGTTCCCGAAGCTACGACTGCTCCCACGCTCCCTTTTTTTCTGAAGAATTTCCCGAGGTGTGCGTTTAAACACCGGGGGTCCTAGGCATCCTTGCCGCTGTGTTTCTTGCCAGGCAACTTCGAAAAGTGCCCTTCAGGCGAAGTCCCCCAACGACTCAACCGCACTCTAAGAAGCGAAGAAATACCCGCAGCTTCATTTTTTTTTGGTCGTTTCACCCCCCGAGAATTCCGCTTCCCGCCGTTCACCCAACGTCCGCATTTTTCGGATGGGGTATAGTCATTGTTGCCCGCGCGAACCTCGGCCACGGTGGAGGGGCAAAAACTATCGGAGTCGCGGACCCTTAATTAAAAGGAACAGTCGCCCAACCGTTTTGCAGCCCACCGCAACCGTCGCGCCACTAAAACTCCACAGCTCCCGGTCCCTGCTTTGCCGCTGCGTCGTCTCCTCGTGTAGACGCCCGGGTCAGGAGAAACCAGCGAACCGCACCATTGTTGTTATGCGGCGCCCAGATTTTTTTGCGTGCTGTTTCACCCAGCCCGCTTTTGTCGAAGTAGAACAGTGCCGCAACTCCCCTTTTTTTGTTTTTTCTGTACAGCTGTTGAACGAGCACCAACCCAGGTGCCTTTAACCAGCGCAGGGTAGGCCCGTGTTCACCCCCGATATTCGGCCAAGTAAGTTGACTGCATGAGTCAGAACTAAAACTTGGTGGGGATGGTGAGGTTCGGGCGACGGAAGGTCACAGGCCGTTCACACCGGCTTTTAACCTGCCCTTCACGCCGTTTCTCGACCCCCGCTTAGCCGTCGGGCAGTTTCTTCCCGTGTGTCCCGGCGGCCTGTACCGACTCCTCCGTAAATGTCGGGGCAGTACGTTGAACGCCGTTTAATCGTGGGCCGCTTGCAGCTGTCCCCGAAAACGACTTCTCTGGTAGGAGAAACCGCTCTCGAAACTGCCGGCCAGCTTGCAACAACTCCAGGCACGCAGCGTCGCACGAGTCGTTTTCCGAGGTTACCGGCCCCGGTTTCCCTCGTCGCCTGCGCCCCACTTCTGCTAAGTGCGATATGGCCACTCCGCTTTTCGTTGCAGCCCGTAGGTGTCGGCGGGTCCGAAAATCCCGTCTGTCCACGTGCACTTCTGCCGAAAAACGTTGATGACGCGCCCGCCAATGCAGTAAAGGCCGCTGCACTTAACAGGTCGGGCGGGACGGCAGTTGACTCCCGCATAGATCGGGTAGTCCTCGTGGCGTCTCTCCTCGTCACCAGCTTTTCAGACGCAAACTTCATTTGCGCATGGCGAGTTCCCCAGCCGACTTTTTCTTCACAGCAGATCCGAAATTGTCGCCCACAGTGACGCACGTCCGTTGTCGCCAGCTGCCGAAACACATTCCGCGAGTCATGCGCGCAAAATGACGACGAGTCACCGTTGTCACTTGCCGCATGAGACGGACTCCGAAATTGTCGCGCAGTTGTTGACTCAGGTCCGACGGCGTCAACTGCCACACACGTTGACGACTCCGTGAATTTCGTGCAGGTGCCGACGCAGGTCCGCTGACGCCAGCTGCCTCACAAAATTCCGAAACCGTCGTTAAAACCGCAGCGGAATAGTAACTTACTTTTAATATCGCGACAGCTACAGCGGTCCGTTGCCCGGGGGGAGGAAGGCCACGGTCGATCGCGACCGTTCGAGGCAAGGATCCGGCGGTGCCGAGGAGTGCACGATAAAACCATGGCCGCGAAGAGCAACTAACCCGTCCTCTTGGCCGGCCTAGGCAACTCCTGGACCCCAAGACATCCTTCCTCGTCCCCCCCCCCCCCCCCCCGCCCCCCGAGGGGTATTACACTCTAAAAAGCGGGGTAGGCTAGGAAAGTAGCTCTGATACCAGGTGTTATGAATGAACTTGCAGAGTGCGCAGTAAAACGAATATCGAGAATGATTGAGTACTGAATTCACTGAATCCACAATGAAGTAACGAGGCCTAAATAGGGGAAAACCTAGCTAGGCAGGGGTTCGGGATGGGATGGCTCGGTGATGGTTGCGATTGGAGCGGAGGCCGACTCGGGAGTGGCTCGGTGCGACGAAATAGGAAGGCCAGGTTCGTCGCGTGACCCTCGGGATGGCCTCGCTAACAGGCCCCTAGATTGGTTTTGGGGTAGGCTTAAAAATCAGAGTTCACTGGCAAATTTAAGCTGAAAATTAGCAAAAATTGCCCCTTTTCATTAAAACAATAGAAAATTACCACGTTTTTTTGGGGAAAGGCTGACAAATCAGCCTTGGTACAGAAAAAAAGGCTGAAAAAAGGCCGAATCAGCGTAAAAAGGCTGAAATCTAGGGGCCTGCTCGCTAACGAGTGCCTCAGTAAGGATTTGTAAATCCTTACAAAAAAGATATAATATCTTCACACAAGCATCTCTCAGTCATATAATTTACAAGCATCTCACAAGTACAATAGAGAATCTTAATATTGGCATGCACCTAAGTGTTGTTGACTACGCTCACTTGTCCATTCCCAGGACCTTCTTCCTCTGCCCCATCATGTACGTGTACACACCACATGCCAGCTACGGACCCGATTCGATTGATGGCAGCCTTTTTGCACCCCAGGCCCTTAATGCCTTGTTGAGATTATGGCAGCTAGGTGACAGCATAATTTATTTTCTGACTGGTAGTAAAAAACACTTACCGGTATGTAACCATTTCTTCCTATCCTACTCAGCTAGCCGCTGAGGCCACTCAGACCACTGGAGGCCACTTCAGGTCTCCATTCCTGTGGCGTACCATACCGTACCATAGTTGGCATGGCATGAAACCCATTGTACACATTGTACATGCATGAGGAGTCCAGCTGAAAATTTGGTAACACAGTTATATCGACTTGGATGGAAGGATCAGCCTCCGAATGGCATGGGCGAGGGAGCGGAGGCTGGCGCCATGGGGATTGGGTCATCTGGGTCCTCTGATAGGGTGAAGGACGGGTGGGTAAGAGAAGCAGGAAACAATGCAGGGGATATTAATTACAGTGCACAGATGCTGGTGCTGCGGGGATCGGGTTATCTGGGTGGGTCCTCTGATAGGGTGAGGGACGGTGGGAGAGAAACGCAGAGGGTGGAAGGGAGAGGCAGGGGTGGAAGGGAGAGGCAGGGGTAAATTCATGATTAAAGCACGCTATGAGAAATTAGGGTACAATTATACAGGGTAGGTTGTACAACAAGAGAGAGAGAGTACAGAAACCTTACCAATATCGTTGTGCACATAGAAGCTGGCGGCAACGATTAGATAGCTCAACACCAGCATGATGCCCTTGAAATAATTGCTCTCTCCCTCCTGCATGCCGGGCAGACGAAAAGAACGGCATGGAGAGAGGAGACGGGCAGATGAAAGAGATTGCATTAATGGAGTCGGACAGACGAAACAACAGGGCATGTAGGAAAGGGGCTTCTTAATCTGTCTCAAAGCAATGGTTAACGCAACATTGGAGCAACAGGCACAACCGAAGCCCACCTGAAGCGACATTGACCCACTTGGAGCAACAGAAACCCACCTGAAACACACAAACCCACCTGGAGCCACAGAGACCCACCTGAAGCGACAGAGACCCACCTGAAGCAAACCGAGACTGACCTGAAGCAGGGCGGCGACGACAAGCACTGTCATGCAGAGCGTGGCGGTCTCAAAGAGATGGAAGTTGAGATCCATTGGCACTCCCATGGCCCACCCCACCACCACACAGAAGGGGATCTGCGGTCATGCGGGGGGAAAGAGAAGGGGTAGGGAGGTGGGGAGGTGGGTAGGGAGGTGGCAATGTGGAAATGGAGGTGAAATGGGAGTGGCAGCCTTGAAGCATCAGTCCTAACTTTCATGCGGAAGCAGCAATGGTGGTGGGTTGGTTGGTAGCTAGTCGCCAACATGGTGAGGCGACTAAGAGGAACTCACTGCGATGCGAACACTAACTATCTTCAGGAGACTTGAGAATGAATCACAGCGAACATGGCAACTTGTGAGATGACTAATAGGAACTCACAACTCACAGAGAAGAGTGAATGTTCTCAGGCGACAAGAGAATGACTCACAGCGAACATGGCGATTTGAGTGGAGGAGCCAATGGCAACCCCGAGGGAGATATCCTGTAGATTGTGATTGTAGTGATGGGAGAGAATGGTGACACAAATGGAATGGAAAGTGAGTGGTGAGAGGAATGAATAAATAAAGAGAAGAAAAGAAAAGAGAAAGGGTTCTGGAGTCTAGGGGGAAGATATGGCACCACATGGATACAATGCATTTTTTACCACCCCCCCCCCCCCTCCGCCCCCCCGCCCCAAAAAAAAAAGTTGCATATTAAGTTTCTTCAATCGGCCCTCCCTCCTCCAACCAGCCAGCCACTACTCACTACCCCACCACCTTTCCTCTCTCCCCCCACTGCCACTTGTCTACACCTTGCACCCCTCCACAACCCCTGCTTACCACTTGCACCCATCCACAACCCCCCCCATCACCACTGTATCCCCCCTTTCACTTCATTAACCCCCCTCCCCATTCCCCCACTCCCACGCACCACTTTATCCTTGGAAGCGAACATGATGGCTGGAACATGCTCTCTTAAGTCAACCTGTAAGTCACCAATTACCATCCTCTCTTTTCACCAATGTATACCCCTCCTCACCACTTGATCCCTCCCACGCACCACTTTATCCTTGGCAGCGAACATGATAGCTGAAGCATGCTCGGCTGCGTTCCCCACGATGGGCAGGATGATGACGCTGATGAACGCCACTGGGATGTCCCACGCGTCCGCTGCTCCCTGGTAGGCACATGGGCGGTGGAAAAGCGGGTTCAGAGGGGAACAGTGGGGGAGAGGAGAGAAAAACGGGTTAGCAGCACAGCAGCATTGGGGGAGGGGAGATGAGATGAAACAACGTACAGTGTACCTTGGTATAGGGCACGCATCTCCGGATACGGCATTTCACATGCACGATACACCGTACCTCGATCGATACAAACGTATATCGGTAGAACTTACCCCGACACATTGTACCTCGATAGCGTCCACGAGGTATTCGGAGAGGATGGAGATGAAGAGATGTTCCGACGCACATCCACACGATAGCCTGATTAGGTGTTCCATGGTAGAGCACCTGCGTACAGAGCACCTGCGTACAGAGCACCTGCGTACAGAGCACCTGCGTACAGAGCACCTGCGTACAGAGCACCTGCGTACAGAGCATCTGCGTACAGAGCACCTGCGTACAGAGCACCTCGGTACAGAGCACCTGGGTACAGAGCACCTGGGTACAGAGCACCTGGGTACAGAGCACCTGGGTACAGAGCACCTGGGTACAGAGCACCTGGGTACAGAGCACCTGGGTACAGAGCACCTGGGTACAGAGCACCTGGGTACAGAGCACCTGGGTACAGAGCACCTGGGTACAGAGCACCTGGGTACAGAGCACCTGGGTACAGAGCACCTGGGTACAGAGCACCTGGGTACAGAGCACCTGGGTACAGAGCACCTCGGTATATGGCATCTCAGCAGTATACACACCTCAATAGCGTCCACAAGGTATTCGGAGAGGATGGAGATGAAGATGGTGATGACGCCCATCCACACTATCGCTCCCCAGAAGCCCAGCACCTGCTCCTCGTCCTCCTCATCGTCCCCATCCTCTCCCTCCTGTGGGGACGGAGAGGGAAGAGAGGAAGGGGAAGAAGGGTAGGAGAGGAAGGAGGAAGGGAGGAGAGAGGGGAACTCGATCATATCCCCAAAGCCAGCACCTACTCTGCTCCTTCTCATCATCATCACCATCCTCTCCCTCCTGCCAAGAGGAAGAGGAGGAAAGAGAGGAAGAGAGGAAAAAGATGAATGGAATGGGAGGAAAAGAAGAAGAGAAAGGAAGGGGGGAGGAGATGAAGGGAGTATTGGAAGGGAGGAATATACGAAAGGTGAGGAGTTGACGGAGCAAGGTAAGTGGCTCAGGCCGTGAGCATTGCAGCACGCATCAGTAGCACACACAGCACAAACAACACTGTCACAATCACATTAGTGCTGCACGGCACACATGGCTCACCTGTCATATAGGTGCGAGTGCGATTTGAGATGGAATTAGAGGTAGCACGCGTAGGCCACGAGCATCATGACGCTGCTGAAGCGACTCACACTCTCAAGGTATATGTGTGTAGCGCACTGCACATCACACATTACTCACATCACACATGACATGACTCACATCACATCACATCACACATGACTCACATCACACATGACATGACTCACATCACATCACATCACACATGACTCAAATCACACATGACTCACATCACACATGACTCACATCACACATGACTCACATCGTCATATAAGTGCGAGTGCGTCTTGAGTTGGAAGTAGAGGTAGCAAGCGTACGCCACGAGCATCATGACGCTGCTGAAGCGCGAGAGAGCGAGTGTGCTGTCCCTCTCGTGCAGCTCCGTGTGTGTTGACTGCAGCACTGCCGGTGCCGTCAGGCCCATCACTGCCATGAGCAGGAGGCCTGAGTTTACTAGAGCAGCAGTCTGTTCAAAGGAGGAGAGAAGAAAGGCAAAGCACGGAAGGAGGGTGAACAGGGAGCGAGCATGCTGTCCCTCTCGTGCAGCTCTGTGTGTGTTGACTGCAGCACTGCCGGTGCTGTGAGGCCCATCACTGCCATCAGGAGGAGACCCGAGTTCACCAGTGCGGCAGTCTGTTCGTGGGGAGGGAAGGGGAGGGGAGGAAGGGGAAGGAGGGGAGGAAGTAGAAGAGGAGAAGGGAGGGGAGGGGAGGGAGCAAAGGCCACATTTGTCTCTCTCGCTCGCATACAACCCCCCTCTTTACCCCCCCAACTTGGACCAAGTGGGCTTTCGCCCCCAACTCACCGCTTCCTTTCCTCCATCCCCCTCTCGCCCGGTTCAAATGCCGTTGGCAATTTCACAGGCCGCCCACGTCTGCCTCACACCCACAGACACAGCCACACACACAGAAACACACTCTCGAACACACATACTCGTCCCCACCCACCCACCTTGTTGAATGTCTGCTCGCGATATCGCAGGCCCCCAACGTAGAAAGCACAGCCGAACACGAGCAGCATGTTGGAGAGAATCGAGCCCAGCAGACTCACAGATAGACGCTCTTTGCCCTTCTTTCCCCTCCTCCGTACCCCCTTCAATATCTTTACCTTGTTGAATGTCTGCTCCCTGTAACGTAGCCCCCCCACATAAAAGGCGCAGCCGAGCACGAGCAGCATGTTGGAGAGAATGGAGCCCAGCAGACTCATCTGCACCCCCTGTCTGATTGCACAAAAGAAACCTACACACCCAATCAAACCCACCTTGTTGAATGTCTGCTCCCTGTAGCGCAACCCCCCAACGTAGAAGGCACAGCCGAGCACGAGCAGCATGTTGGAGAGAATGGAGCCCAGCAGGCTCATCTGCACCACGCGGATCAACCCGTTCTGGAGGGCAAAGATGGATATGATGAGCTCTGTGGCGTTGCCAAAGGTGGCGTTCAGGAGACCTCCCACTGGTGGCGTTGAGGGGGGAAAGCGTGGGAGAGGGTACGGGGGAAGGAGGAGTAAGAGGGAGTCATGGAGAGGAGAGGAGATAATGGAGCCCAGGAGACTCATCTGCACCACTCGGATCAGCCCGTTCTGCAGGGCGCAGATGGATATGATAAGGTATGTGGCATTGCCAAAGGTGGCGTTCACGAGACCTCCCACTGATGGTGAGGGGAGCGAGGTAGGAGAGGTGGCAGAGGAAGAGAGGGAAAATGAGGAGGCAATGAAAGGGCGCTCTGGAGGGCGAAGGTCGATATGATAAGCTCTGTGGCGTTGCCAAAGGTGGCGTTCAGGAGGAGACCTCCCACTGGGGCCGGGAGTCAGTCAAGGGGTGGGAGAGGGTGGGGCGAGGATGGAGGAAATATGATGAGAAAAGGCCTGTGATAGTGGTTGAGGAAGGAAACAATACAGCACACTATGGGATGAGAGGAGGGTGTGCAACAATACAGCACACTGCATGTGACACACCAGAAGGCGCGTGTGACAAGAAGCAAAGAAAAGCATTTCCAGACACTTACGGGTTGGGCCAGTGTAAAGTGCCAGCTGTCTGCACGGGATTGGCCAGGGAGGAATTGTTGGGGACGCAAAAAAAAAAAGAGGAGGCAGAATTGATTGCTACACAGTGGGTTGATGGACCAGCAGCAAACAAAAGAACATTAGAGTGCTCATATGAAAAGTGGTTAGTCCATTCATGCACCCAACAATCGTGTGCTGCAATGGAAAGGAATGTGGTGGAGAGTGGTTGAACTTCGCTGTGGGAAAATGGGCATCACCCACTCACACTAGCAACCACAGCACAAAACAGCACAGGACAGCACACAGCCTTGCACTCACTCTGTGACAAACCCTAGTCTCTCCGCCAATGGGGCGATTCCAAGCAGAGAGAATGTGAAGATCCAACCCTGGGAAGGGACAGGGTGGGGGCAGGGCGGGGAGCAACAGCAACAGCAAGGAGAGTTGGGAAAAGATGGTATATTGAGTCAACTAGCAAGCCGTCTTGATTTGCAGACCACATGACCCCACACCTTGTAACCTCGAAACCTATAACGTGACGACCCAGTAGTAGTACCTACGACCTCTGCTGAGGCCAGAGACTGCCACTCACCACTGAGTCACCAGCCACTTGAGGGCACGGAGAGCATGGAGAGGGGGATGAAGACGAGCAGCACGTGGATGGAGTGAGAGACCCGTGAGTCCTCGCCTTGTAACATTACAAGCAAGTGACACCTACCATCCAGCAGATCAAGTCCCTCCCAGCACACTCACCTGTAGCCATCCAAGGCTGGCGAGGCGACGAGCATGGAGTGGAGAGCGGGATGAAGACCAGCAGCACGTTGAGCCGGGAACTACTGACTTATCACCTACTATACTAGCCTTATAACCTTGACACCTAATGTCGTAGCAAATAGCACTCCTCAGGTAATGCCCATCAAATTTACCTGCAGCCACTTGAGGGCGACGGCGAGCATGGAGAGGGGGAGGGGATGAGTGAACACGAGCAGCGCGTTGAGAGGGGGACTCTTGAGTCTTGACCCGTCACCTCGTATACGTGTTATTTAGTAAAGTAGCAACCAACAAACACCCTTCAGGTAAGGCCCATCACACTCAACTGCAGCCACTTGAGGGCGACGGCGAGCATGGAGAGAGCGGGATGAAGACGAGCAGCACGTTGAGCGAGAGACTCCTGTCCCCTCACATAGCAACCTTGAAACCTAGTAGTAACCTAATAGGCTAATACCCAGCCGATCAGTCCCATCTCTCACCTGCGGCCACTTGAGGGCGACTGCGAGCATGGAGAGCGGGATGAAGACGAGCAGCACGTTGAGCGAGCACCCGAAGAAGAGAGCCACGAGGCTCTTTCGCCAGTACTCCTCCCACGTTGCTGCCACGGCTCCCTTAGGAAGGCGTGACTTGCCCACCCCTTCATCTGAGTCCGAGTCACCACGCGGCTTGCTGGGAGGAAAAAATGAGAGGCAGGGAGGAGAGGAGCAGTGCAGTGGGGCTTTTCTGCCAGTACTCCTCCCACGTTGCTGCCACCGTCCCCTAAGGAAGGCGTGACTTGCCCACCCCTTCATCTGAGTCCGAGTCCAGCGGGTCACGCGTCTTGCTGGGGGAACAAAGGGGTGAGAGGGAGTTCAAAGGGGTTGTGGTTTCTCCCTCTAGGTTTCCTGGAAGATCCACCCCAGGCCAGCCCAGGAGAGGAAGAGAGCACATTGAGCGAGCATCCAAGGGATAGAGCCACGAGGCTCTTCCAACAGTACTGTTCCCATGTCACCGCCACGTTGCTGGAAGAGGAGGGGAAGGGGGGAGGCGGCGAAGGAAGGTCAGGGAATGCGGCGGAGGTGGGAAGGGGGGAAGGAGATATGAGGGCAGGCATTGGTTGTCCATCGGCCTTAGGCAGACGTGGCTTGCCCACCCACCCGCTCATCCAAATCATGAGACGATTTTTTAGGCGCCTAAAAAATCGTCTCATTTGAAGGAGGAAGGGAGATATGAGGGCAGGCATTGGTTGTCCACCAGCCTTAGGCAGACGTAGCTTGCCCACCCACCCGCTCATCCAAATCATGAGACGATTTTTTTGGCGCCTAAAAAATCGTCTCATTTGAAGGAGGAAGGGAGATATGAGGGCAGGCATTGGTTGTCCACCGGCCTTAGGCAGACGTAGCTTGCCCACCCACCCGCTCATCCAAATCATGAGACGATTTTTTAGGCGCCTATAAAATCGTCTCATTTGAAGGAGGGGGGGAGATATGAGGGCAGGCATTGGTTGTCCACCAATCCACCGGTCCACCGGTGGTCCACCTGTCCACCGGCCCACCGGCCCTAGGCAGACACAGCTTGCCCACCCGCTCATCCAAGTCCGTGACAAAACACCGCACGACAAAAGTAAACTCGGATTAACGTCAGAAGCGCCTTGCCCAGCCCCTCACCCGAGTCCCTCCCACGGGACTCGTGCAGTTTGCTGGGGAATGGCTGGGTGGAAGGGAGAGCAGGGGGCCCTTTGTGGGGTGACTGGGAAACTCATCCCATAATCAGCACAGAAAGGCTACTCCTCCAACCCTCACCCCCTTTTCTCCTCACTCCCTTCCTTCCCTTCTGACACCATCCCCTCTTACCTCTTACCCCCTCCTTTCCCTTCCCCCCCATCTCCCCTCTCCTCTCCCCCTTCCCCCCTCTCCCCTCCCCCCTCGCCCTTCCCCACTCTCCCCTCCCCCCTCCCCCTTTCCCCCTCTCCCCTCTCCCTTCCCCCCCTCCCCCTTCTCCCCTCCCTTTCTCCCCTTCCCCCTCCCCCTTCCCCCCTCCCCCTTCTCCCCTCCTCCCTCTCCCCTTACCCGTGTCAGCCAGCCAACCAAGCAGCGAGAGCTCATTCAGGGACTGAGACGCTGTGATGAAGTTCACTGTTCACCCACCAATCACCTGTAAGTACGCAGGTTCTGAGACGTCTAAAACCCGCCACCCACCCGTCACTGAAACGCGGCGTCTCAAACCCTCCACCAACCCTCCAAACCAATCTTCACCACCCACGTGTCACTGAGACGCGGCGTCTTGAAACCCTCCAACACCCCTCCCAACCGATCTCAACCACGCACCTGTCGCTGAGCAGCGAGTGCTCCTCATGATCGTCGTCCAATTCGTGGTGGGAGATGTCCACCAACTGCCACGTGGAGGTCACGATTAGAGAAAGGCGGATCAGGGAAAGGAGCAGAGAGAACGAAAAAGGTTACATCCTTACAAATGTCGTATAATAGAGTTTAATACCCCTTGTATTTCGGTGTGGCAGATTCACTATGTAACTGTGCTTCTGAAAGGGCTGGTTCTAACAGCACCCGGCAGCTGCTGAACGGGTGCAATCAACACCAGGAGACCCGATTGTGCGAGCGCGTAATTGAAGTGGAGGAGAGACACGGATGCTGGGGGATAATATGGACGCAGATTCTGTTCACTTCGTGGAACTACCATCGGCGGGCGATACATTCGCGTGTTCGTACCATCGGCGATCGGAACCCTCCTAAGGACGTCCAGCCGACAATGTGATTCGTCGTTTCAATGCACTTCTTCGTCGACGTAAACGCGTAAGTGCGACAAACCATTTTGGATTCGATAACACACTTCAGACGCCATAAATTGAGTGGAAAAATCTATTGTCAATTTAACCGCACAGCATAGGCAATTCTTCCAGGCGAGGATGAAGGACGAGAACTGGACACACAACAATGCGCGCATCCTTACACAGATACAGCTTTCCAGCAGACACACAAGCGTACCTCGAGAGAGAAAACCATGTGGATGCATAATTGTCGACGCATTTTTCCACCAGACACACAAGCGTACCTCGAGACTCTTTCTGTTGTTCGACGCCATGAGGGAGCCGAGGTCCCTCCACGAGAGTTTATGAACGCTTACGAATCCAGCTCCTGAAGTCCAATGTGGCTCCCTAGATCCACGAGAACACTAGAAAATGTAAGAATATTGCAGCGCAATTCGGATCAATTCCGGAGCCGCCTGCTGCTTTCGCGGCGGCGATCTTCGGATGCAAGGGGCTAGTTGCGCGCGAGAGCACCTGCTACCTCACTTCTGTGGTCGAGCGATCAGATCGGGTCAGCGACACGGCTGAGTCACATGCGGCTCCTGTGTGCTCACTAGCCCTGTCATCGCTTAGACCAAAACGATACTGCATTCATTTCCAACACTGAGCTAGGAATTGTAAAACTCGAAAAGAAGAGGGATGCTGCTGGCCAAGGAATAATGAGAGACTGATGGATGGTAGATAGGCAGGGAGGGAGATTGACATCCGTGATGAGCGGTAAGCTCGAAGGCGTGTTCAGCAAACCGAGATTTCACCGTTGAGACCAATTTGCGCTTTGTTCAACGTCCGCCTGAGAGAGAACGAAATGGTTAAAATGGTGAGCAGGACTGAATGGCTTTGATTTCATTTTCCCAGACGGTTCTACTTGACGTTTTTTCTCCACCCACATTCCTGACCTGACCCGAACACGGCTGTGGGAATGCCCCAGGCCCCCAGCCCGAGTGCCCCAAGACTTCGGAAGTTGGTGGGAATCTCTGCGGGAAAGTGACCCCGCCTAACTTGTTGCTGCTCACTAATTGGTCCCCAGACCCGCCCGAAATCCCCAAGGATCACGTGGAGCACGTGTCAACAGCTTTGAAACGGAAGAAGTACTAGCAGATGCACTTATTTCAGTGCAATACTTCCGCTGTTCCCCAACACTATGCACCCTTACGGGTTTGGTATAAGGCGTACTGCACCATCTCTTGTGCAACACCGCTGTTATGAGTTGTACTAAACTGAGTGTGTGGACGACTTAATAAAAAGGATGAATTACAGAATGACGAGACAATGAATAAAGCGAGCATTTATAGGGCGAATACGTGCTAGGCGATAACCTCGTGACGTGCGAGGGTTGGATGTGTCGTGTCGCGATTGGTGCGGGCCGACTCGGAACTGGTTCGGTGCAAAAGTGTAGGCCGAGCCACACTAACGCGAAGTGCTCGGGGCTGTCCTCGCTAGGAGCAGCCTATACAGTAATGAATTCATATTCATTACCACCAGCTCAAACCTCATTGTATTATAATTTCCCGCCAACTCTCTTATACTTCGCAGAAGACTACTACCTCTGCTGGATCGAAGGATCACCGTTACCAGCGACTACCTTCCTTGTAGTTCGGTTTAGTACGGGCAGAACATTTCGATCTAATCGATGATCTTGGTGATGCTATCACAAATTTTGCTTATATGCTTTTAGGCTCAGAGCGGGATATGCCTGGAAATTTGTCAACATCATGCTTTCTTGAGTTTCTCTAGTTCGCCATGCATGCTATGAGGACGAGGCGAAGCCGTCATTCATGCGTTTGTTACAGGAACAGGTCAACACGTATGCCATACATGCCGTTATGGATTTCTAATTCGCCATGCTTGTATTCGTAACGTTATAGGGTGAACTTCAAAATGCAACAAAGCGAGCTTTCTCATTCATGCGGGCCACAAGCTCAGGCGGATTTCGCTCAGCCATGCTTGAGCCTCTAAGGCAACAAATACTGGCTACGGCGCTATGGTAAATTCCGTCCTGTTACAAACGCACATTTCACTTGTGATCCCTTCTAAATCCGTTCTTTTCCTATCCGTTCTAAATCTCTTCCTATTGCACCATTTCACCTATTCATCTAGTGATCAACTAAATCAGATTTTTGTAACGAGTTTCTTCACGGCACGATGGTGTTGTATATTCGTATAAAAAAAGATTTATATATCCGAGGATTCAGATATAGGTGCTGGCCATGGTCCTTAGCTCTCGTTTGGGTGCTGTTCAATAGTTCTTAGCTCTTATTCGGTTTCCGTACCTATCCTGTTAGTCTGGTTTGGTTGCTTTACTATCCATTGGTCTGGTTTGGGTGCGGTGGTATCCTTTTGTCTGGTTTGATACCCTATACTCTTTATACTCTCTCACCTCGTTTCAGTGGGTTCGTATCTCTTCGCCCTTAGTCGTCTGGAGCAGATCATATCGCAGTCCACTAAGAGGGCGCTAGAGGTGGAGAGGCAGGAAGCTCATGCCCTTGCAAATCGCGTGCTGGTGTTTGCCTTTACCGCTCTGTACCAACCCTTCCTCAGAGATCCAGTGCCATGGAGCAGATCATCTCGCATTCCACCAGGAAGGCGCAGGAAAAAAAGCGACGGGCAGTGTGTGCGGGGGGAGGACGAGGCTGCAGCTGCGGAAGGGCAATCAAACTAGGTGGAGATGCTGAGGTGGATGGTGGAGAGAAACCCTGACGCCATCGGTTCCAACTCGAAGTTGACATTTGCAAAGGTATGTGGTATGCTTTGTCATATGAGAATGATAGCTAAAAGGACAGCTAGAAGAGGGGAGGTGGAGGGGAGAGAAAGAGGGAGAGGTAGTGGTGAGAGAGGTGCTGTAGCTCAGAGGTGAAGGGGGTAGGTGAAGGGGTTGAGGCAAGCGGTGTTTCTTGTCCTCATGCGGTGTTTGTGATTCGGAGGCAGTTTTTGTGTTCCAGGAACAAATTTACATTGCATGGGAATGGGTAGCACTGGATGGGAACGGGCAGCCCACGTGGGGCAAAACCAGCTCATGGGAACATTGGGAAGTGGTAACTGCGCATGAGAACGGGCAACAGGGCAGAATCTGTTAGAATGAGAGAAGTGATTGAACTAGAAAGGAATGGGAGTACAAGAAGTATATATAAGTAGTACAAACAACAAAGGTGATCTCAGCCTAGCAGAGCAAACAGGCAGGAGTATATATAGAGATCACGGTACAGGCAAAGCCTACAACAAGTGAGGCAAACTGGGCACCAGCCCCAACAAAGTACAGAAGCGCTGATGATCACCAGACTGAAGTGCCTTGGTGAATATATCAGCGGTGTTGGCCTGAGAGGCCACGCAACACAGACGAAGCTTACCACGCTGCTGCAGCTCACGAGCAAGGAGGTAACAGAGAGCGATGTGCTTCGTTCTGTGCTCGAGTCTAAGCTCCTCACATAAGGCAATGGCAGCCTTGTTGTCGACGTACAGCACTGGAGGAGAACTAGGCCGCTCTCCAAGGTCGGTCAGCAGGTAGGTGAGCCAGCGTAACTCCTGTGCAGCCATGGCTATGGCGTAGATCTCAGCCTCACAACTGGAGCTGAGAACTTAGGACGAACGCGTAGAGCGCCAAGAAACTGAACCAGAGCCAAGGCTGAAGGTGTAACCCTGTGACGACCGCTGAGTAGCCTGGTCGTCAACCAAAGAAGCGTCTGAGTGCCCAGTGAGAACAACTGAGCTCCCTCCTCCAAGCACGAGCCCCATGCCTGATGTACTGCACAACTAGCGCAATACCCTCTTTGTAGCTTCCCAGTGCACCTTACGCTGCCGACCAGGAGCCACGTAGCGAGCCAGAAGGCCAAGAGGGTATGCTAAGTCAGGACGAGTGCAAGTCATCAGGTACATGAGGCAACCAACTAGCTCTGGGTAAGGACCATTCGACTCTACGGACTCATCCGAAGGCAGAGCTGAGAGTGAGTGACCTATAGCCAAAAGAGTGGCCTGTGCTGAGGACCAGGTGAAGCCGAAGCGCTGAAGGACCTGCTGCACCATGTGTGACTAACTCAGGGTAATGGTGCAGCGTGCTCTGTCCCGGGTGATCTGCAAGCCAAGGTAGCTGCGCAGTTCACCCAGGTCTGTGCACGTGTGTCTCTTCTGCAGCTCCAATTCACGTGGGCGAGAGACTCAGTGTCGGGTGTGGCAAAGACCAAGTCGTCGACGTACACGAGGATGTAGAACGGCGGCAGCGAAGTGTCGGTGCGTGGAAACAGCGACGGGTCAGCAGTAGAAGGAGAGAACCCAAGTATCGCAAGAGTAGTCCTCAGTGTGTCGTGCCACTTACGTGGCGCCTGGCGGAGACCGTAGATCGGCCGCCGGAGGCTCCATTGGGTACCAGGAGGAAACGACCCAGTGAATTCAGAAGGGCGGCACAGCCAGATCTCCTCGTGCAGACTGCCCTTCAAGAAAGCTGTGCTAAAGTCAAGAGAGTGAAGCTCGTAGTCGCGCTGATCAGCAACGTGCAGTAGTACCCGAAGAGTGGTCATCTTCGGGGTGGGGGAGAAGGTCTGAAAGAAGTCTACTCCCTCTCGCCGACTGAAGCCTCGAGCAACGTAACTAGCCTTGAAGACAGGCGGAGAACCAGGCGGCCGCTTCACCCTGAAAATCCACATGCCACTGACAATGTTCGCCCCAGGTGGGGGAACCTCGTCGACGTAGGTGCCTGTGGACTTCCAGGAAGCCATATCTGCGTCCATGGCTGACTCTTACTGTGAGGAGTAGGGACCCTCGATCGCCTCAGCGTACGATCGTGGAGTCGGGATGTCTGGTGCATCCGGGTCTCCCTTAGGGGCAACTAGCATGGACAGGAGATGGGGCGCAGCGGCTGCAAGACACTCAACATCCTCCTATCTGTCCCCAATGACGTCCGTGCTAAGCGCACACTCACCCCCGACACACGGAGGACAGACAAACTCAGACTCAGCGACAAGACTGGCAGCGTAGTCCAGACGACAGCGAGCAGCAAAGTCGACAAGCTCAGCAACAAGGGCAGACGCAGCAGTAGACTCAAACGAAGTGTCAGTGACAGCAGTGGCCAGGAGACGCGTGACAGTAGGACTGGCAGCACGAAGAGAGTCAGACTCCGGGTCAGCAAGAGCAGGAAGAGAGGACTCAGGAGGAGACGGCAGAGGGACACGCTGTGGAGCAGTGGAGGGACGAAGGGACATCCGGTGTGTGCCAGGGACTGGTGGCGGACGCTCACGTGTAGTACGGCGACTGGTGGAAGTAGTACGAACAGGTGATTCAGGACGGGACACAGGCGACACAGGACGAGACTCAGGCTGACGACGCTCTGTGAGACCGCCTGTAGGACCAGTGTAGGGAGA